AGCACCGTTTAAGCACCAGCACCGTTTCAAAAGTACTGGTTTGGTACTGGTATCGGATAAAACCTAAACGATACTCATCCCTACTTGTAAGTCAGTGGTAATGAGGAGACTGTAAATAAAAAAGAAAACCCGAAGCCTCTGTAGAGAACACATTCACCCAAACATTCATATTATGAGAGAAACTCGTGCTTCCCATGTCTGCATTCCTGAAACTTGCAGTTTGTTGTTGTTCTCAGGGTGCAGGGCTCAAGAGGAATCAGTCGGGTTACAGTTATATTCTGACAGTTTTGTTGTAAATACACTGATAATTGCTCCATAAATATTGTGTATTAGCCTCAAACTAGGAGCTGTGGCACAACATCGGTGTAATCGAGTGTTTGGAGTCTGTGGCGGTGTTGTTACTAGTGATCAAAGAAATCTCGTATGTCCGTTCTTGGTCTCCCTCAACAGCTGTTCATTGGAGTCAAACGTGGCAAAGTTTAACATTTTTTTCTTGATCAGTTCTTGTTTTGGCTGAAAGTTGCCGTGTCCTCATCACAACAAGTCCTAACAAGATGAAAATCTCCCTCAAACAGGCCTTAAAGGCTACAGAAGGTCCTGTCTGTGACTCTTCCTTAATTTACTGTCTTTTTCTGGTTAAGTGAGCTAATTTTGTTCTTGCCTTTCCAAAGCTGAACCAAATAAGTTCAATCCCTCACTTACTGTATGTAACTTGAATGAGCAGCTCTAAAGGAAGCCTTTGAACACACATCTCAGTAGGTACAGTAAACACAGTTTAATGAATGGTGACACGAACTGGGTTTTTTTCCCAAACAGACTCTGTACTCGTTTAAGGAAACGGCTCAGGTCAGGACTTTGAGTCCTTTTGATCAGTTTCTGCTCTTTATGAGGAGATAGATGTGGTACACAACTGCTCCCGTTTTAAACATCCATCAAACTGAACATTTGTAGGGAAGCTGCTGTGTTTGTTTGTCACCGTCCTTGTGCACCCCAAGGATGGTGCACATGGGTTTCATTAGGCCTCTATGTTCCCTCGACTTGTGCAGCTCGTTCTCGGGACTCGGTGGATCAGAGACGGTAAGCCTGACCAAATATTTTTCTTTCTCTGCTCCCTCAGCGCTCTGTGCAGAAACTTGTGTTCTCTTTCCTTAGGCTGTGCTCCTCTCTGTGTTTTCTTCTCAGATTTTGTCACAGTCACCTTGTCTCTACGTTTTGGCAACGTCACGGTCACGGCGAGGGATTTCA